ATCTTTAGTTACCATCAAATCAAGAGCTTCATGAGCCCGGATTTTTACTTCGAACAAGCAATTCATTGATGCCGGTAGTAGCACATTTATGGTAAAATAAACCGCAGCTTGAAAGGTTTTTTCCGATGGGCTATGTAGGTTCTTACTCGTGCGTCTACGATTGTTGCCGGTGTGATAATGTGTAATGCATATGTTAACAGGAGAGAGGGTCTGTCACGTCTTGTATTGACAAAATTTTCCTTTGTGGCCAGACCATATGGAAGACAACACGAAAAAATGACGTTGCTAGTTAAAGAAACTTTGTTTGTGAAAACTCCTATTTTCTTTTTGGTTAAGGTGGACGAGAATGCCGATGTTGAGTAAATCTCGCTAAGATTATATAAATTCATTTCTCAAGATTCATCTTCTTGTGAAACCACGGACATAGGATAAATAATAAATTAGTTTGATCCATATTTCGCAATACTTCCTTAATCTTTATATGGATCCTATTCAGATAATGTTCAAAGTTTTCTTTCAATATAAGGCTCTATGCGGCTGATGAGTCCTCCCGAAAATTGTGAAAGAGCCTCAATAGAATCATAAAAGATGCCGGATGTCCGAAGGATTCGCGTGCAATGATTGTCTGTAAATCCCTCGGGATACTTTTATCATAGAACTTTCCAAATAAGAGAAAGAGTTTTGCCCGTCTCATCATTATCATACAGCAAATCTAAGACTTTAAAAGTGCCCACACAAACATAGATAACTTTTTTAGCAGAGATAGTTTAAAGAAATCACTTGCCGTCATCTGGAGTTCCTGGGATTCGACCATATCAAATCCTGTGCCCTTTTAAGTCAATCATGTCGAAATGCGCAGGAACTATGTTGTTCTTAATGAGTGACTCCTTGAGCGCAATTAAAATGGAGGACTTGCCACTTTGGTATGGTCCATGGATGATTTAAGACTTTTCATGGAACATTCCACTATACACTGTGTTAAAGATTTGTCATTCGTATATTGTAATGGAAAATTGGTCCTTCGGTCGATATAACAGGACAATCGAGTTCAATAGAATAATCATATTTTCTTTTTCTGGACGATTCTTGCTCTAATCGTGCAGAGGCAAAAGATGAAAACTTTATAATTTACAAACGAAAAAAAGCGCAAAGGTCCATGTCACGTTCATGTTGACCAATTAATATGACGCAAAGGTTTACCTTGATGTTCATCTAAATGATTAGGGGACCAAAAACATATCGGTTTTCAAGAAAGTCGCCTTTATAAAGTCAAGTTTCGCTTCAGGCATTTGGCAAGTATCAAGAAAAGTTAAAGCTTTATCTATTTCATTATAATTTTTTATAAAGTAAAAGCGTAGGGTAGTCTTTTCCTTGTCAGTAAAAGCGAGACTATTAATTATTTCGCAAATTTTTGTGTTGGACATTTTGCTTTTTTGTAAAAATTCTTATAAAATACACGAGACAAGAGAATAAAATTGGTATCTTATACATTTATTTTTGTTTATAAATACAAATTTTCATCAAACTTTCTATCAAACCTTCACCATTTTAATAATAAAAAAAGTGATTTCACGCATCGTTATGAAATATGATATTCGGAATATTTATCAAAGGTCAATAGTTATTGGTTGGGATAAAATATCGGTTGAACACGATATTTAATTGCCGTCATTTTTTACTAATATTTTTCACGGTATATGCTGACCAATCAAATTAATACAATGACATTCTCTTTCGAAATTCAATTATTAATAGATATTATTTCAATTAATATATATGAATGTAAAAAGAAAATTTGAGAAGGTACAATTATGAAAAATTGTTGTTTCATCTAGAGAATTTGAAGTCAAAGAAATTTCTTGAAGAGGAATTTGCGATTTTGAAGAATTATTATTATTGTAAATTATGTTATTTGATACAATTGAATTATTTTGTTTAGAAACGTCAGTAATATTAATCAATGTGTTTAGAGTATTAAGTTGTTGATTTTCATTAATATTTTTTATAAGAACGAACCCCTTAAACACTTTTATGACAGTATGTTATAATTTTTTTTCATTGTAGAGATATATTTAAAATTTGTTTTAGATTCATTTTTTTTTTTTTTAACGATGTGGCACTGCCAGTAACTTTGTATTTCTTCTTACATATAAATTTAATAAAGTAAATCAAAAATAAATATATGCCCCTATAAAAAAGAATGTCCGGAATTTAACAGGAAAATGTACTGAAATAATAATGTACAAATTCTGAACATTTCCATTGTCTGGAATATGTTCCAAATCTTGGTGGTTTCCGGACATTCATTTTGTCCAGAAAATGTCATTGTCCGGAATTTCAATGTTAGAATGCAATATTGGACATTTTCCGAACAATTTTTGGATAATTTCCGGACATAAACCTGTTTTCCAGACATTTTCCAGATATAATTATGTTTTTCCGAACGTATTCCATTTTTCTGAACGTTTTTAGACATTTTCATTATTCATAATATCAAATTTATAACTTAATAATTTATTAATATTTAATT